TAGCCAGGAGTTTGGAGATGGGTGGTCCCAGCTCAACAATCAAGGACCCAGGCCCTTTCCTTCTTCCCCTCTGCAACCCTTGCCTTATTTATTAGTTTTCTTCCTTGAATTTGTAGTCTTATGTCCCCGGTATGATCGTTCCAAGTATCATATCTTTATCAATAAAATCTTCCAGACCAGGAAGGGAGAAGAGCAGCTTCTCACGGAGCCCTTTCTTCTGTGAGATGGAGGAAAACCTTCCCTAGAGGACTGCCCCCCGCAGACTTAACTTCCTGCTGCATGGCAACCCTGAGATCCGTGATGGGGGTCGAGATTGTCCTGACCAGTGCCCATACGACTTGATTTCTGGGGCTGCTGACCTGCAAAGGGGGATGTTTGACCTGGTGCTCTCACTGTACCTTTCTAGTCGTGGACAATAACATCCACCCCTTCCCCAAATATCACTGTCTCCCATTTCTTCTTTTGCAACATTTTCTCTCTCCCAGCTCCATGCTTCTGTGAGAGGCAAATGCTTGCATTTCCCCCACTTCTACCAGTGCACATCCGCTCCTACCCCTCCATCCTTTCTCTGTCTAGAACATGTTCCCAGCATCCCTTCTCCTGAGTCTCCTCAAGCCCTCACTGCCTTAAACTTTGCTCTGTCTCCCCGTAGATGGTTCCTCAGAGCTGGCCTCAAAGGGAAGTCAGTATCTTCCCACAGATTTTTAAAAATTTTTAGACACCACAGCTACCTGTATCTCTTTGGGGCTGGTTGACTGGGTTGTTTGTTTGTTTTTTTAACCCAGAAGAATCATGTTCTCAGACAGAAGGTCAAAAGTTGAGCACTTTCTATTTCCTTCTCCTTGTTCCCCTACCTCAGACTCTTTACTTCCTGCTTCTAATTCTGCTCTCCTGGAGTCTGTGGCCTGACTTTTCTCCCTCTACCTCTCCTGGTGCTCTGCTTCCTTCATTTGGATGATTCCCACTGTCTTCCATCTGTTTTCTGCCTCCCTTCTACGTTCACCAGATGGGACCCTGACTTATTCTTGCTCTTCCTCAGGATCGAGCTGAAGCAGACCCATCTCTTCTGTCCTGCCTCACAGCTTCCCCATGCCACAGGGGACAGGCACAGCCTGAGAGGCCACTTGGTCCACTCTCTAAAGGCTCTGGTCACAGTGACACATTCAACTCAGGGAAGGGCCTCGAGTTAGCCATCTCCCCAGAAGCTCCTTCCTGCTCTGCTACCGCCTCTGCCCTGCTCTGAGCTTGTGAGGCCTCTTCACTCTCTGCCCTCAGTAAGGATGGCCTGGGACCTCTTTACAGCTTCTCAGTGACTTCTGGAGGTAGCTTTCCTATTTTATTTTGTTTTTTCCGGTACCAGGGATTGAACTCAGGACCTTCCACTTACCAGGCAGGTGTGGCGCCACTGAGCTGAATCCCAGGCCCTTTCCTGGCGTTTTAAATACCCCAGCCCCTGTAAACTGAGACCGAGATGAGTCCTACTTCCTCATCCTCCTGTCTTTCTGGCTTGCTCTGCCTTAGGTTTTGGCGAAACCTATTTTATTCTGGGATAGCTCCTCTTGTAAAGCTTTAAAAGCGCATTTAGTACACTTGGCATAATTTTGCATATAATTAGCTAAATTTGCATGTAGTTAACTAAATGTATATTGCCAGTAAACCTAATTTTCCAGAATCTTCATTCTCTAAAGTCAAAGGCAGTCAGTAACTTGGCTGACCAAGGAAAGCAGAATCTCACACACCTGCCTAGAGGGCCCAAGACTCTTTGACCCAGAGATGCAGCCTGATTTTCAACCCACCACAGCCTGGGATAAAGGACTTTTCACACACACAATTCTGCTTTTATCCTTATTTTATATCATTCAGAGAAATAGGAACCTGCATTGGCATCTCAGCAGAGGTCCAAGGTTGACCGCTTTTACCCACACGCCTGCTTTGAGCCAAGCAAACACCGCTTCCTGTAAAACTCCGCCCTGACTCAGACTTGCCCTGGCTCCTCATCCTGGAGTGTAGACTGTCTCGCTACAGCCAGGTAAGGAACCTAACTCTGCTGGGCTCCAGCTGTACAAGACAGGCTCTGTCACTATATCCGATGAGACCATTTCTCTAGCTCAGGCATTCTCAGAGTCTCAGCAGGAGGAAATTGTTCCCAAAAGGTAAAAATGAGTGTTTGGGAAGCAAAACAAACAAAACTAAAACTAAAAAAACAAAAATCTTACAGTGGTTTGTGTCTTTCCAAAGGACCACGCACATAAATAGAAACACAATATGTTTGTTCCACTGAAATTTCATGGGCCAAGAAAGAAAGGTGCCATGTGAGAAAAGTAGAAAGTATCCAAAAAGTCTCCTTAAGAGGACAACAATGCACAAAGTTTGAGAAATATTAATTATTATCAACATTAATAATTAATTGCCTGAGGTAAATCAGGTGCCTGATTGCTGGTTCTCTTTTGCAGCTACAGTGTGGGTCCTTCTGGTCTCCGTCTTGGGAGATCCAATCTGTTTGACCCCTTCCAGAATCCCCAGGGCTTCCACCCTTGCTCTGATCCTCCCACCCATGGGAGACTCTCACACGGGAGAGGGCTGATGCCCCATCATCCACACACACACTCCCAGCACCCCTCTGCCAGCCTCCACTCCCTGCTCACAGGGCACTACACAGCAGCCCTAAGATCCGTCCTGTGTTCCAAGATCCCCTTTCCCTTGGCTGTAGGGGGAACACGGAAAATAACCACTCACTCCCCTCACCGCAGCCCAGATGCCTGTTCCAAACACTGTGACTTCTGCCCTCCCACACCCCTAGCCTTTTGCTTCTCCACCCTGGGAGAGGGTGGTGCTGGGGATGGTTGGAGAAAGCAGAATCAGTTAAACTCCTCTAATCCTTTACTGTAAGCCCTGGAGGTAGAGTAATTACTATTGACATTAATAATTAACCATGCGTCCCTCATGGCTTTCTTTAAAATGTGAGATGTCAACTCCTCCTTCTCAGCTTTGGGTCAGCATTAAGACCCATTCTGGAGTCTCAGGAGTCCACAGTGCCTGTTTCCTCTCAGAGCAATGTAAACCCAGGTTTGTGTCGACTTCTTAGCAGCCACTGTGGTGAATCTCTTGGGCAGGACAGATGAGCAGTAAGAGGGAGAGCTCACACCTCCATCTCTGCAGGAACAATGTCTCTGTCTGTCTGAAACCTACCCACAGCCAGTGCTCACTCTCTCAGCAAGAACTCACTTACCAATCTCAGTATTAAAATCCCTGAAGTTCTGAGTCCAGCCATCTACACTTAGTAGGTTCTCAATAAATACTCTTTGCAGTAGAGTTGTCCAAGTCCAAACAGGTACCGCACTACTGTGGTTGCTTTGCCGAGAAGAGGGGCCACTGACCAGCTGTCTCCTCCGTGGAAAATGAAAACTTAATGACATTTCCGTGAAAATAACCCATAAGAATATCCATCTGTTTGTGTAATAACCTGAAGTCAACTAATGACCTTAATTAAGTGCTAATGACCTTAATTAATTTGTTTTTTCAAGAGGATTTTTTTTTTCCCGGCAAGAGGATGTACCAACACAGGTAGTCGATCTGCCTGGCCTCAGTTCTGTTTTTCTTCCTGGCCTGTTTACATTCATTCTGCATCCCCTGACCTTGGAAAGTTGAATGAACCCGGTCATCGTCAAGGATGTGTAGCTGAAGTGGGACCCCAGAGCAGGTTGGTGACTCCCGAGTTTTGGAGTTAACTAAGTCTACCTTCAAATACCCACTAGTCCTGGGACCTGAGGGAAGAGACTTTCCTCTCTGTGTCACCCCTCACCCAGATGCGTCTAACTTGTGGTCTGCAGGTTGGACATGTTCATGTTGTGTTGTAATAAAATACATACGATATTTTATACTTGTATACATTATTAAGATTATATTCTCTCTCTCTTTGTGTGTGTGTGTGTGTGTGTGTGTGTGTACACGCGCATGCATGTGCTACTGGGGATTCAACCCAGAACCCAGGGCCTTGCACTGAGCTACACCTCCATCCTTTCTTTTTTTTTTAAATTTGAGTCAGGGTCTTGCTAAATTTTCCAGACAGGGCTTGAACTTTCAGTCCTCTTGCCTCAGCCTCTCAGAGTGTAGGGATTACAGGTATGCACCACCACACCTGGCCTCTATTTTTTTAGTGCTGCCCAAGACAATTCCTATTCACTCAGTGCAGCCCAGGCAACCAGGTGTGGCCAGCCAGTGGGTTGTGGGCTGGACACACCTGAGTGGTGATAATGATGACAGTACCTCCCATGTGGCCTCAAAGGCTGGAAGAAAACAGTATCTGCCAACTACTTCTTTAAGGCAGGTTAGCTATTGTTTTCATTTCTCCAACCCAGACCCTCTGCGAGCATCTAGGCATCTTGCTGTTTAGCCCTTCTTCTTAGAGTCTCTGTGTTTATGTTCCATCCCCCATATTCACCATAAGAAAAAAAAAAGAGAGAGAGCAAGGAAAAACCATTTTCTTTTGCTTGTCATTGAATTTATTTGGGTCATTTTTCTTCTGTCATGGTTCATGAGGATCCTTAAAAGATCCAAATTAGTTGAGCAATGGAAACTTTCTGGAAAAGCCCACAGGAGGGAGGAGAGGTTTTGCTCATCCCTGGAGCCCTGTCTCCCCCATCCCTGACATCTGGATAGGAGCAGCTCTGAAGGCTGGATTCCTGCCCTTTCCTGTCCCAAGCCATGGACAGCGCTCTGTGGCCTGGGCACTGCCCTTAATGCCTCTCTTCCCCTCAGGAAAGCCCGGAGCTGGCCCAGGACCCTGGAGGCTCATTTTCCTCCAGAGCAGCCTTTCCAGGGTGGAAGGATGGGGAGGGAAGCAGGATCTCAAGGGGTCAGCACCTCCTTAGGAAGTCTGGGTGGCTGCTCTGCCGCTGAGCTGTGTCGGGCCCCAGCCCACTGCTGCAAGGTCCTGCTTGCCTTGAGTTAGGCTCTGTCCTGGGGACAAACACTTGATGCACCTTTCTGCCTCAAAGGAGCTCAATTTCAGCCAGGCCTGAAGGCTAACTGTTCTAAATCCCTCCTTGAGTCCGCCCCTGATTTCTAGGTGGGACAGTCCTGAGACAGCCACTCTCCTCCGTCCTTGACCTTCAGTTCCATGCTAACCTCCTGACTGCCAGGGCTCCAGCCTCCAGTCAGCCTCCCCAACAGCTCGTGGAAGTCCACTTGGAACCTCGACGAGGAGAAGTAGTAGACCAGGGGGTCGACGCAGGAGTTCAGAGTGCTGAGGAGCAACACGTAACTCCTCCACGTGGGGCTCTTGCCCTGAATGTAGCCCACCACGTGTGACACGTTGTACGGTCCAAAGCAGACGAGGAAGTTGAGCAGCGTGGCCACCACCAGTCCCACCACCCTCCTGCGCCTGCGCCGGCTGGAGCTCCTGCCGAGGATCCACACCAGGCGGCTGTAGCAGTAGCTGGTGATGAGCAGAGGCACCCCGAAAAGGACCACACCCATCTCCAACCGGACGGGCAGGAGAATGGCCAGCTGGTCCTCTCTGAATTCCAGGTAGCAGGTCCCATTAGTGCCCTGGCTGTGGGTGGAGTTCCCCGAGAATTCGGTGACGTAGACCACACTGCAGTGAGCAGCCGCCAGGAACCAGCAGATGCCACTGACCAGCCCAGCCTGAGCCAGCCTCGGCCGGGTCTTGTACCACAGAGGGTAGGCCACGCTCAGGAGGCGCTCGATGCTCACGGCCGCCAGGAAGAGGGAGGTGAGATAGATGGTGGTGAAGAAGATGAACCCGGAGATGGGGCAGAGGATGAAGGGCAGGGGCCAGCGCATTCCGCTGGCTGCCTCCGCCATGCGGAAGGGCAGGAAGAGCAGCAGCAGCAGGTCCGAGAGGGTCAGGTTGAGCAGGAGCACATCCACGGCCACTGGGCGGCGCCGCAGTTTCCCCACGAAGATCACCAGAGCCATTAGGTTGAGGGGCAGCCCCACCAGGAAGGCAAATAGGTACACGGAGAAGTAGAGCCAGTGGTTGCCGTGGAAGAAGAACTGGTCTGGGTTTTTCTCCATGGTCACGGCCACTGGTGCAAGACAGAGATGGAGGTGGTAGTCTGGGTGGGGGTCTTCCTGTCCCTCTCCAGAGCATCTCGCCGCCCATCAGTCAATAACCTCGTCACCAAGGCCACCCTACACGTCCCCACCTGTCTTTCCCAGCAGAGTCAGCCTGCCTGCCTTCCTGTCCTACCCTGTCTCCTGTTTCCCCAAGCGCAGAAAGCACCAACGCTCTCCTCCCGCCAGCCCCTCGGCCCCACGCTCACCTGCTTCTTGGCGAACACAAGCGCTCCGCCGTGCAGCACCTTGCCGGCTTCTGCAGACCAAGTGGGTGAGCTATTTATTTGCAGAAATGATAAAGACCTAGCAGTGCCCATGACGTCATTCACTGTGGAACAACAGCACAAAAGATGCCTTGAGCTCCGTTACCAGGGCTGCGTCAGTATGCAAAAAGAAGAGCAAATTCCACAACTGTGTGCCTCCTCGCTCCTCCTCTGGCCACTCAGCTGGGATGCCCCAACTGGGCCCAAGCTGACTCCGACTTCTCCTCCCTCTCCTCCACTTGGATTTTGTCTGCTTCTCTAGAATGGCACTTTTCCAGTTTGCCTTGTAAGGGCAGGAGGCGTGATGAGGTGACAGAGGGCTGGGCTCTAGAGCTGCCTCTCTTTCCTGCTAACTTTCTGATTTGGGGCAAGTGATTTCAATTCTCTCTGCCCCCCTTTTCTCATCTGTAGAAGAGGGATAATTGTGCTAATCATCCCACAGACTCAGATATTAATGTGTGTCAAATGCTTAGAACAGAGCCTGGTACCGTCCCTGCTATAGTCCCTGGCGTGGTGCTGGCTTGTCACTGGGGTAAAGATGATGATGACGGTGGGTCATGGTGGTGACAGTAGCAGCTACTTTACTGACATGTGATCCTACTCCTTAGGGCACCACAGTTTTATGTCTCAAGGTCCTTTTCACTCAGAATGGGGCAGTGTCTTGCTCCAAGGTTCAAGCCCAAATTCTGACCAGCTTCAGACATGATGCATTTATTCACTCAGATACTTGCTGATTACAATGCAAAAGCATTTCACACCCACTGGAACAGTTATCAGCAAAAAGCCGGACAATGCTGAGACAATGAGAAGCTCCTGACTCTCCCCTTCTCCTCCTATGACGGCCAGAGGGGGCGTGGCTTGGTCCATAGTCGACACACCCTCTTCTCCTCACTTCCTTTCTCTTGCCTTGGGTCCCCCCCCCCAAGGACAACTTTCCTTGGTGTCTTCCTAGGTTACTTTGTGACCACTCTCCTGGCTGCTGGGGCAAGAGGGCAGCTCAGCTGTGGCTGTGGTGTACTCCCCTGAAGTGCACTGCTCCACATGCTGCTGTCTTCCCTAAAGAAGCAGTAAAAAAGCACTCCAAGGTGGCAAAGATCTAGAAGGGATCCAGGCCTATTATTAATGTCCTAACTTTCCCAAATCCCAGTAAGCTGTGGTTAAAACTGCTGGATCTACTGAAGATTCCCTAGTTTTAGCTCTGCCGTGTTTTGCTGGAGACCAGCCAACTGTCAAATCAGTTAGCCACATCTCCTGAGATCCCCAGAACCGCCTCCATGAAAGCTGTGGCCATCCTGGATGCCCCACACCCACTCTGGGAGATGTTGGCTTTGGCTCTACCAGGTTTGAATTTGAACCAAGTAGTAGAGTTGAATTTGGACCATTCGGTACATTCTGATCAGAGAGCTTGAGTTTACACCAACTGGGACCAACTGGCAGGCTCAGATTTGGAGCAATCAAAGGCTAGAATTTAGATCCATCCACTGGGTTGAATTTACCAGTCACAGGGCTGCAGCTACTATATAATCAGTGTTTCTCTACACTTCTAAGGTTGGTCTAGGAGGACTTCCTCTTGCTCATCGATTCCTCTGTCCTGTTCAAATAAAGCGTCACTCCAGTGAATCTACTTGTGATTTAGTCTCAGATAGTGTGGTCTTGGGATTCTCATCCTGAGTAGTGAGCACAGAGTGGTTGCTATAAAAAGAGCTATAAACACTAAGGAGACCAGAGACCAGCAGCTGATAGAGAGCAGTAGAGGCAACCGACAGAGTTGACAGATGGTATCCAGTGTTGGCATTCAGAATTAACTGGAGTCTACCAGCATCAAGGCTCCGAGCTGTGACACTGAGGGCTGAGGGCTCTTGGTGCTCAAAGCCTGCAGCTGCTAGCAGAGCTGCACTTGGCTGATTCATGATTTTTACCTGAAGTGAGCAAAAGAACCCTCCACCGATCAGTGACAATTCCAAGTGTTGGCAAGGATGGGGAGAAACTGAAGCTCTCATTCATTGCTGTGAAAATGTACAACAGCACAGTTACTTTGGAAGGCAAATTGTCAGTTTCTTAAAAAGTTAAACATAAATTTACCAGGAGGCCCAGTGATTTCATTATAGACGTTTACTTACAAGAAATGAAGACACATGTGCACTTTCTCATAAATGTTCATAACAGTACTAGTCATAGTAGCCAAAGAGTAGAAATATCACCGTTAGCTAAGGAACGGATAACAAGTGTGGCACGTCCACACAATGATATTCTATTTGACAATAAAAAAGCACGAACTACACATACTATGGCGTGGATGAACATTGTGCCAAGCGAATCAAGCCAGTCAGAAGAGACTATATCTTATATGATTCCATTTATATGATGAGCCATCTAGAATAGTGTCGAGAGCAGGGAGCAAGGATAGTAATAATAGGCAGACGCCGGTAGCCTTTTTAGATGCTTTAATTACACAGCACACTTCTAACTACCGCCCGTCAGTTGCCACTCCCTGTACCTGCACAGATCCGAGGAACACAACTTTCTTCTTCTGTAAGATGATGCACGGTCAGCGTCGGCTGTGGCCAGGGTCCATGTCTCCAGGGGTGCACTCTGGGCTGGTGCCCTCCGATGTCCTGGAGCAGAGTCTTGGCTGTGACCTAGTGCAAGATCACATATGCGGCCAGGGGCCACCAAGTAGCCACCCAAGTCTCCGGGTCACCAAGTGCAACAAGCTGGTCTTCTGCACTCTCTCCTTTATACTAAATTCTAGGGCTGTGTGGCACTGATTCGGGCTTATCTATCTATTACACATCAGGCAGGGTTTACAGATGGTCAAGGGTATTACATCACTTCACACAGGAGGGTCTTACAAGGGCTTATTGTATCAGGGAGCAACTCCTACACACACACTTACACCCACTCTACACAGGCCTGCATGGGCTCTCCCCCCTTCTCAGTCTTGTTCAGTCATGGCCTCTGTCACGACCTCAGGCTCAGTGACAGCTTCAGTGACAGCTTTAGTGACAGCCTCGGTGCTTGTTGTCATTGGAAAAGGATGTAAATACTATAATGAATTTTGCAATAACTGTTTGCTCTCCATAAATAGGCAAATTTAGACACAGAAAGTAGATTAGTTGTCAGCCTGGGGGCTGGGGACACAAATGAAGATGAACTATGAATGAATGAGAGGTATCTTACTGGAGTGCTGAAAGTTCTCCAACCTAGATTACGGCCATGGGTGCAGGTATCAGTAAATTTACTAAAATCCATTGGCAAGTACACTTTCGGCACAGGTGAATTTTATGACCATATATGTTATATATCTCAATTAAGTTCTTAAAAATATAGCTACCAAGAAAAACCTTTTGGCTGTCATTGCGGTTATATTGGGTGGGGGTAAAGCAGAAGGGAGTATAATAAAACCATCAAAATCAAAGAGACTCCGAAAACGTTGTAGGCACAGGAAGCGTAGGTGCACAGTTTGACCTTCTAAAGGAACTGGCAGAAGGGTTAGAGCTTGAGGGGGGGGCACAAGAAGTTGGTGTGGATCACGGGACTCCTAGGCCCCAAGAAGAAGCTGGTTCTCCCCCGAGGGGGAGGAAACACAGGTGACTGGGGGCAGCATCCAGCAGAGGCTCCAGAGAGATGGGAACAGGGAGTGATTCTCACCATGAGAGGGGCAAGCAGTGGGTCTACCCAGGTTGGAGTTCAGGCTTTTACTAAAATTCTTGGGTGTCACTCCTACTTAGGGGCCAAGCCTACTTCTAGCTTTCAAAGGAAGTTTCTTAACCTCTCTGGTCTATTGCCTTACGTGTAAAACAGGGGTAGTGGAACTTTTGGTGGAGTGCTATTAAGAGCATTCATCCCCTCAAAAATGTTTAATGAACATCTACTATGTGCCAGTCTCTCTTCTAGATGCTGGGCATCTACCATTGAATAAAACAAAAATCCTTACACTTCTACATATTTAAGCACTCCAAGAAATAATTTGTATAAACCAGTCGGTACATGCCGGCCATGTAGCTGCACTTGTATTCCTCTACAGGGTGGCATTACTGTCATTAGAGGAAACAGTCTGGTTCCTAGCCCAGCCTCATCCGAGCAGACGCCCAGGTGCCTGCCTCCTTCATAACTACTCTTCTCTGCCCTCCTTCTCATGGGCTGGAGTGCTACCCTCCACCTCCCCAAATGTACCACAGGTCTATGTGTTAACCAGCACCCTGAGCTTTCCAAATGTCCCCTGACCCTGGGGGATCCTGTTTCGAAGAATTATATCCCACTTCCAAGCCTTTCTTGCCGTAGAGCCTGGGGGCAGTTTCTAAATCTTGTGACATGGAGGTAACATACCTGGCCCTGGAGCTATAGCTACCTTATGCAGGGCTTTTGGGCAGAGGAGGTCAAGGTACCCCTTCCCAGGGCGCTGCCCTGCCGATGGAGGAACAGGTGGTGCCTTTGTTCAAAGTAGAGTGAAATGTTCCTTCCCTTGAACAGAAGCAAGGCCGGCCTGTGGCTGGGCAGGCAGAGCACAGGCGAGTTTAGCCAGTGTTAGCCCCTTCTGCCTGGCATCTGTCCACCTGTACAGCGGTCACCTGGCTAAACCAGAGTTGGAGCCAGGTGAGGCAGGAGGAGTGTTGAATCCAGGAGTTCAAGAGCAGCCTGGGTAGCACAGTGAGACATTGTCTCTTAAGAAAACAAACGAACAAGTGAGAGAGCACTGTGTGAAGACGATATGAGACAATACACATTGTAAAGCACTCAGCACGGTACCGTCACTCATCAGGGTCTCTACATTCTTTGCAACTGTAACCCGCAGCAGCTTGTAGTCTCCTTCCGCAGCTTTTCTTGCCAACAGCTTCCCGTTTGTAGTTCAGATGCTGCCCCCTTGTGAGTTCAAAATGGTATGACAGCATCGTTATTTTGCCTCCTGCCTCGTGCAGTTAAAATGCTCTTTACAAGGTCTCAGCAGGTGCGAGGCTCCAGATTAGAGGCAAACTTCTCTTCCTACTGAGAGCACCAGGCCTGCCTGTAGTGGGCGGGCAGACGGGCAGTCAGGACAGAGGCTAGACAGACCTCGCCCTGCGCCCAGCTCCTGGCGCTCACTCTCTGCACCGAGATGCCGCCACTCCAAGCTCAGCTTTTCCCACGAGTGGCTCTGGGCAAGGCCGCCCTGCAGTTCTGGCAGAGGCCTGGAGAAGCAACCCGACTCTGACTTCATGTCCCTTCCTCCCCGCAGGGGCTGCTACTTCTGGGATGGTCCTCCTTGCAATCTTGTGGCACATACCGTCCCCCGGCCAGGACCCGTTCCCAAGTAGCCCGTCACCAGTGGATTGAGTACCACACTCCAGGCACCTGTGATGAGCCCCAACTTCCTCCAGGTGCCTCCGAGGCTGGGCTGCAGGAAGCCAGCCACATTGGAGACATTGTAGGGTCCCAGGCACAGAAGCAATGTGAGCAGGGCCCCACCAGCCACCCAGGCTGCCCTTAGCTTCCGCCTGTGGCTCAGGCCTGAGTGGGCCAGTGCCCGGAGGCAGCCCACATAGCAGAAAGCCGTGATGATCAAGGGCACAAAGAAGAGCAGCAGAGAGAAACTGAGGCGGGCAGGACCAGCAGAACTGGGGTCCCAGGCCTCCAGGCAGACAGGGGAGCCATTAACTGGTGTGTTGATACCCAGGGAGGAGGTGCTATTCTGCAGCCAACCTCCCGGAGCCTCTAATACCAGAACCAGCCCCAGGTGACAGAGGACCAGGACCCAGATGGCCACACACACCCCCCAGGAATAGCGCGGCCTCCGGAGGGCTTGGTAGCCCAGGGGGAAGGCGGCCCCCAGGTAGCGACCTGCACTCAGAGCAGCCAGGAAGCCACCACCTGCGTAGAGTGGGGCGAAGTGGACCAAGGCAAAGACTGGGCAGAGCGCAGCCGGGAGAGGCCAGACCCCCCAGGCCAGGGCCTCCACCGCCTTCAGGGGCAGAGAGATGGCCAGTAGGAGATCAGAGCAGCCCAGGTGGAGGGTGTAGACCAAGCTGGGGGTGAGATGGAGACGCGCATGCGCCGCTGCGCCTCGGATAGCCAGCACGTTGAGCGGGAAGCCCAGGGCAAAGGCGGCCACGTAGAAGGCGAAGGAGAGCTGCGGAGGTAGGTCCATGGGGCTGGAAGCGGTGCCACCACTGCTCCTGCGATCCCCTTGCTCCCTGTCCTCAGATCGCCGGCCAGGGCAGGAGGAGCTCCTGGAAACCACAGCCCAGGGTGTCCGCCGCCAGCCGGTGAGACAAGTGAGGAAGCGGAGGCCCAGGGGAGGTGGCGGCAGGGGCTGGATCAGAAACGAGGACTTCTAGCCTTTGATCCTGAGCTGTCTTTGCACCATGTGACCTCTCTCGATTCCTGAGACTGGGGAGAGAGGGAGGGAGAGTTCAGAGCACTGCAGGAGGCAGGCACGTGGGCATGGGAGTTAGAGCCCTGAGTCCTCTCCTCACCCCATTCCCTAGCAAGAGGAGCTTCTCCCCACATCTGTGGAGCATGAGTGGGACCCTAGCTTAGAAGAGAAGAAGTCGGGGTATGGACACAAGGTACACCAGGCAGAGGGGCTCCCAAGGGAGAGCCCTGGGGTGAGCCAGGTCACATCAGGATCCTGGGAGACACACTTAGAAGATCAGGGGTCAGCCTGGGCTGGAAGACCTGGGAGTCTGGGGAATAGCGGTGAAGAGAGGAGCCATAGAAGGAGGGACTCACCTCTTGGCGCTGTCAGATGTTTCTGAGGCGTAGGAGTCCCCAGAGGATGCCCAGAATGGGCAGTGAGCTGGAAGGGAGAGAAGGGCGGGGTGGCAGGGCCATTGGCTGAGGCACTAGCAGCTTGGGTGAGCAGCTAATGGGGCATCCCAGGCTGCAACTGAGGCTGGGTTGCAGGATATAAGGGGTCCAAAAATATCCTGGGACACAGAAGGGGGTGTGCGTAGGAATGGAGGTTTTGTCTAGTCAGGTGAGGTCTATACAGCCAGTGCCTTCAAGGGACAGGGTTTATGGGGTGCAGCCAGAACACAACTCTGTGCCCTTCCCGCTCACTTACCCACTGCCTGCTCAGTCCTGCGCTGGGGGCCGAGTCTTCCCTACTGGGGGTGAAGGCACGGGAAGACCCCAGCCTGTCGGCTCACACTTGGACAACACAGTTCTTCTGCGACTTCTGCCACTCAACCCTCTGTCATGTGGTAATGAAACGGCGAGTGAATGACAGAATCATCCCAACAGACACCTTGTGCAGGTTGCAGGCACCCTTTTGCCCAGAGAGGGGCTCTTCTCTTCTCCCTCTCCGCTCCCTTCTGGTTCTGTGACAGTGGTTTCCAACCTTTACAGTGTCGGCAGAAGGCGGGAGAAGAAAACGGGAGGGACAGGTCAGAATCTTGTGGTTGGCCCTAGAGCAGTCAGCCTGTGGTCCCAACTCAGCCTCTCACTGACGGGCAGGATGGTCTAAGCTCATTGCTCCCTGGGGCTTTGTAGGGGGGACATTGGAGTGTGCTCGGTGGAGACAGGCAATCCCTCCAGTGGGGTTTTCTTGTTTCTCTCAGTGCTGGGAATCCGGCTGGTCATTCGTGTCTCCTGGAGGGGTCCTCTTGTCTTTCTAGGAAGACCTTCTATGCAAAACTTAAAACGGTCCTGAACGGCCTCCCTCACCAAAATATGGCCCATGAAAGCTCTCTGTCCCTGACATTCTGTCCCTATCTCTGTCTCTGTCTCTGGCCCACCCCAAAGTAACGTCACAGTCTTTCAGCTTCAGATTTCTTAGGGCCATGTGTTGGTCGCCGGCGTATTCGGCCCTACCCAAATTCCAAGTCACTCACAATCAGCTCCGCTCACCAGGCTTCAGGATGTGGTTCTCAGTGTATCGATAACCCCCTTCAAAGAAAGTATCAAACTTCCTCCTCAGACTTCGGAGTCATGAGACTCTTTTCCCACGCCATGGCAAACACCTCCCTGTGAGCAGCGAAGTACTTGATACTTGTCGAGTATTTTGTCTTTGGGAGTACTGAGAAACTAACAGAACTGAGAAAAGGATCAGAGTGCCGTGTTATCTCCTGTGACAAGCACTGGGAGAAGAGCAGAGCTCTAGGGAAACATGGGGTCTCCCAGATCTCTGCTTTGGCCCCACCTACCCAGCAGTTCGGCTCCTGGCCCGTGTCACCTCTCAGAGGGCCTTCATGAGTCCTCTATCTGAATCCACGCCTCCCTGCCTTGTATTCATCTTTGTGTTAATGCAAAGCTCCTGTGACTCTTCGACGCTGTGTTTGCCAGCTCCTCTGCTGGGATCTTGGCCTTAAGAGAGAGCTAAGCTTTTGGTCTGAGTTGCCCACCTCATGTGCCCTGCAGGATGCTGAGCCCTCTTGGATGGAGGGGCTGGGTGGAGGCTGCCTGTGTTCTGGAGTCCCTGGCCCCTGAGCTTCCTGGCCACCTGCTCTTCATGCCTCAGCAATGTCTGTTGACAGCCACATCTCGTGGTCAATGGCTCATAAAGTTGGTTTATGTCAGCAGCTGGGCTCAGGGACAGGATGGGAAGGCACCCGACGGTTGCCAGGAGCCTGATCCGGGGCTTCCTTCAGCTCCTTCCAGGGGCTCCTGCCCTAACAAGCTTTGGATACCCTAGACTACACTAGAGACCTCTGAGAATGGTTCTGGGTCCTGTCACTTTTGTACCCCAACAAAGACTCTCAACTGGATGCATTAATTTGGGCTCAGAAAACATCTTTCCTTATAAAATGAATGGATGGTTGAATGGCCCTGGACTTCATTTCTAGGTAGAGAAACCCCAACCCTCCTTCTTTCACTCAAACTCTTTTCAAAGTCCCATCTTCCTTCAGCGATGTGAATGGTGCTCAGGAACTCCAATTAGGAACAAAGTGGATTGATGGTGAAATCAGTGGGTCCTTCTGCCGCACTTCTAAGAATTACTATTCTAGGACTGAGCAGAGATGGAAAGGGAGGGCGGTAAAGGAAGGTGGCATTTCTGGGGAACCTAGGGGAGTTGGCCCATATTGTGCAGTTGGTTACACATACATCTCTGCCATCTGAGCAGAAGGGGCCTTAGCCCTTGGCTGGGTGGGTGGATGGGTGGAGAGAGCTTAACCTGAGCAGTGGAGTGGGTGGGGACACTCACCTGGGATGACTGATTCAGTAAATACAACTGGGTAGAGAGTGACAGTGAGTGACAGGACAGCTGTGAGGTTTCTCTGGGCAAGCGGCCTTTGAGAAGTTTTTTTCCAAGTTGTGCTTCTGAAAGACCTTGGTAGGTCCCCTTTTGAGAATAGCTATGAATAATAAATTGGCTTCCTTTTTAATATGCTTCAAGAAATATAAGTAAGAGATAGGAATTTCTTTTAGGGACTTCTGGTTTCTGTTAGACCTTTTATAATGTGACTTCCACACACATAAGATCAGACCGGACTGTTACAATATCTCAAAAAATAAAAGAGGGCTGGGGATGTAGTTCAGCATGAAGCACCTGGGTTCAACAATCTCCACTAGCCAAAAAATTTAAAAAAAACAAAACATCTTGAGCCACATAAGGAGTGGCATCTCCACTTTACAGACGCAGAAACTAAGCCTCCGGCATGTTAGCAAAATGTGACAGAGATCCCACAACTGGTTAAGTAGAAGAACCAAGATCCAAACTCATGCTGGTCCAGCTGGAAAGCGAGGCAACAAGACAACAGATCCTTCAAGTGGCTGACCCGGTCACAAAATGACCATGACTCTTTCCTTCACTCCAAGCCCCACAATGTCATCCGCATCTCCCCGCTCCTACTCTGACTCCACAGATGGGAAAGAATTCACTCATTCTTAGAAGTAGCATCTGTGCCATTTTTATTGTGTGTCTCTTGGTCCGTTTTGTGTCCTCGTGAGTACTTCTGCTCAGTCCCTGGGACCCTGAGGGCAGGGCCGCTGCTGTGGTGTCATCCTCTCTGTGGAAGCCTGGCTTGCTGGTAGACAGGTTTCTTGGGGCGAAGCCAACGGGGGACAGCACCTCTTTCTACCTCATTTCTGTCCTTCCTCGGGATTCCCCGAGGGGCAGAAACTGAGCATAAAATCAGTGAATGTAGGTGAAGGGGTCAAAAGAAGAAAAATCAGTGACAAGTCCCAGCAGGGTCGCAGCAAGCTGGGGCAGGGATTGGGAGAGGGCAGATGGTGGCAGATGGCGGGGGAGGGGCTGACTGTACAGCAGAGGGTGGGTGTATAGGTGAGATTCTGTGTGGGAAGGAGAGGAAAAAAGCCAGGGATAGAGTTTTCAGAGGGTATGGGTTACCAATGCTGAGAACGAAGTCTGACTCTGGGCCAGCCCAAGGTTTTCCACAGTCACTGGGAGGGCTGAGGGGCTGGGGATGCTCTGGGACTTCTGTGTCTCCTGCAGCCCCAGGCAGTTTCCCCACAGCTGGTTCCTGACTCAGTGCTTGAGAGTCACGTACTCCACATTTTCATGTGCCGGGGACGGCTCTCCAACCCCAAACTTCACCAGCTCCGAGTAATGGATCCCCTCGTCTTCGGAAAGATCCGGCACCATGTTCTCGTAGTCACCCTAAGAAAGCCACCTCTTGGTGAGCCTGACCTCACCCAGCCAATTTCACACCCTCAGCTTTCTGGCCAATGTCTCCTTGACTCCCCCTGGGGGTGGGGGCAAAGCCCAAGCCAAGCCATCTTGTCCCCAGACTGGCAGCGCTTGGCCTCTCTGGCACGGAGGTGTCTGCTCCTGCTCTGACCACAACTCTGCCTGAGCAACTGCTATGATTTGAATGCATCCCCTAAATTTCAGGTGTTGGAAAATTTTTATCCCCAAATTCATCTGTTAATGTTATTTGGAGGTGGAACCTTTGGGAGGTGATTGGCTTAGTGGATTAACAGTGAAAGGGCTATGGACAGAAGAGTTGGATTATAAAGTTGAACTCTCAGGTAGGCATGGTGTAATCCTATAATCATGGTGCACAGCTATAATCCCTGCTCCCTGGGAGGCTGAAGCATGATGATCACAAGTTTGAGCAACTTAGCAATTTAGCAAGAACTTGTATCTAAAAAACAAAAAAAAAAAGTTTTTTTAAGGGCTGGAGATGTAGCTCAGTGCAAAGGCCATGGGGTCAATCCCCAATATTGTGAATAAATAAGTAGCTCTCCCACCGACCATTTTTCCATGCCTTATGCACGTCAGGACTCTACAGAGAGTCCCCACCAGGAAGAAGTTCCTCACCAGATGCAGCCCTTTAATCCTGAACTATGAGAACCATGAGTCAAAATAAACCTCTTCACTTTAAAAATTACCCAGCCTTGGGTATTTATTTACAGCCACCAAAGACAGACTAAGACAACAACCCTCTCCAAACAACACCCAGCCTGAGTCACCATGAATGTCTACCCAAGTCCTTCTACACAGGGCTCCCAGCCTCCCCCAGCCCTGCCATCTCACCACATGACGTCTCTGCACCACCGAGTACGTGACCGTGTCGTCCCCGCTAGGGAGAGGTCGCTGCGTTTCAGAGGTCCCTGCGTCTCTGAGTGAGAGAGCAGACAAATGGCCACACCTGGAACCTTTCCCCCAAACTTCCTTCTGCCAATTCCCTTAGGGTCCCAGGAGCATCCTAGTCTCAACTCCTTGCGTGGGGAATGACTCGCTGTCTGGAGCGTGCCCAGGACTCCCAGTAGGAGCTAATGAGGCCGAGGCTGACTCCAGACACACACCCTCCTGACTGAGGAAACGGGTCCCCTTCCTGCACTGTCACCTCCCCGAAGGTTGTCATGGGAGAGGAATGGGTACAAGTGCCTGGCAGGTGGGACAGGAGCTTTCCTCTTCCACATCCCTCCCAGGGTGCCACCTTCCCAGCACCCCAGTACCTAGTTCTTGGTGCGTCCGTCTCAGGAAAGTGTAAGGTGGCGTAGCTGATGCTATCTTCTATCACAGGATTATAGCACCCCAGGGACTGGGGGCCTTCGGAGAGGGTCGCCCTTCTAACCTGAGCGAGAGATGGGGCTGGGCTCTGACTCTCCTCCCCACGCCCCATTCCTGCCCCTGGCTTTTCTGACTCCCCAGATCTCCCCAGAGCACTTTTTGTCACCCTTCTTCACCCAGGATCCTCGAGGGCTCCCCTGCATGTCTACCTTTTTATTCCGCACAAAGAAGCTCTGGCTACTGGAATTGTCCTGAAGCCCCTGCCGGCTCTGTGCCCTCTTCCTGCTAAGAAACAAAGGCTCTGTGAGAGTCGAGGGACTGGGAAGAGGAGCGTGCAGATTCTGTGGGTGGGAGGCTTGGGGATGCACCCAGGGAGGGCAGGTGAAGAGCTCACTGTTGCTGAAACTTCACTCCCCAGATGGCTATGATGACGATGGCCAGGCAGGACCCGATTCCTATGGCAACTCGCCTGCCAATAGACTCTGGGCTGTCTGGTGGAGAAAAGAGAGAACACGTTCACTCTGCGCTGTGGCATTAGCCTGGAACACGTGCTCCATGCTCCAGGTCTCCAGTCCTGGTCCTGCAGGTCTTCCTCCCCAAGCGTGGGACAGCGGTGCTGAGAAAGAGGGAAAAACAGCTCCAGTCTTGGGACCTCCTGGTAGAAGTAAAGGACCAGGTCTTTCTGTGGAGCAGGAGTCCACTCAGAGCTGTCACTTCCAGCCCCATACACAGGTACAACTGTAAGGGAAGTTTGACCAGACCAACAGGACTTAAAATGCTCCAGGACTTGGACCCAGCAGTTCCAGGTACGCTATGCTCACCCTCGCAGGGGTATCCACAGCTAAAGACCGCACACTTCAGCCTCGAGGAGGGTACGGGGAGATGGGATGCACAGCAGTCATTCGGGGTGTACAGAGCAGCCCCAAGAAGGAGGCAGAGCTCTGGTATCTGAGAAGCAGAGCCCCAGGCACGGTGTTTTACACTGTGTCCGGTGCATTTCCCAATAGCACATGCAGGATCCTTCCCCGCTAGCCTCGGACTTCGCAGGTGATGAATCTCTAGACTTAAAGCCATAGCTGCAGCTTTTCATCTGAAAAACTACCAGCACCTTTACACAGCATATATGTACAGATTACAGACTGTCCTCCAAGACTTTTTAGTTCCATGTGAAAAGAGAAGGCCAGGGCAGTGTGCGAACTTGTGAGTTCTGCTGCCATTTGTAAAATGAGGAAGGGGGCCTTGATGCAGATCTGTACATGTACAGCGTGGGAAACCCTTCCTGTGTAGAGATCTGACAAGCTGCTTGCAGGGAGGGGACCTGGAGCTCTCACGGGCGAGAGCGAGAGTGCTTGTCTTTCATTTTACCCTTTTATGCTTAAACATTGTTAAAGTGCTTGTTTTATCCAGTTTTAAAACTTTAAAAATAAAAAGGAGCCTATCAAGGGGGAGAGGGGATGGCTGGAAAGTGGACGCAAGCCCGAGTGGAAATCCCACAAAAGGAAGGAGAAACTCGAGAAAAGGCATAGACAGAGAAAGACCTGCGAGTCAGGAAGGTGAGGCACGGGGTCAGCAGTCTGGCAGGCCCCTCTCGGGGCGTGAGCTGCAGAAGTAGCCAGGGAAAGAATGCGTCTGAGAAGACAGGGACTTACAGTAGACCGTGAGGGTGCTGGGGGCTGACTCGGCCGTGCCCAGCCTGTTGGACCCCTGGCACCAGTAGGAGCCCGAGTGTTTGATCTTCAGAGACTCCAGCCTCAGCGTCTTCCCACTGTACTGGAGGTCTTGATTATTCCAGTCGAACCAGGCGTAGTGGGACACAGGAGGGTTGGCGTCACTCTCGCAAGTCAGGGCTGCCTTCCTCCCCTCCATCACTCTGTGCCCTGGGGTGATGGACACATGCAGCCTCCGGGGTGCATCTGAAAAGGAAAACCAAGTCAGGGCCTGGACAGCTGTTCACCTGTTCGTCTCCCGCCTCCCACTCTCCGGTTCCTGGCACTCACACAGCACTTGGAGCCTCCAGGTCTTGGACGTGGTCTGTCCTATGGAGTTATTGATTGAACAGCTATAATTTCCAGCATCTTCTGGGGAGGTGGAGTTGAAAACCAGTTCTCGTCCTTCTTTCAGGAGACTTCCGTTTTTCATCCAGAAGAAGTGGACGTCTTTGGGACGGCTTTGTGAGAAGTCACATCGGAGGACAACCTGGTGCCCGGCGAGAATCTCTGACTGGGGCCTTATCTGCAGGATCTTCACATCTCTGGGGGCATCTGCAGGGCAGGGTCTGGGCTGACGTCACCCCACTCTTCCCCTTTGCTGACCCCAGCATTTCCTGTTCCCTTGTTCGAGGTCTGGCTCTTATCCACCAATTCTCTGCTGAAGATGGTGGGCCAAGCTCCTGCCTGCTTGTATTCCCTTGGGGTGACCTCCCAGACCCCCCACCCTGTCACTCACACTGGACATCCAGGCTGACAGGGGATGACTCCGAACACCACTGGTTACAGGCTTTGCAGGTGATGGGTGGAGTGTCCCAGGCAACCTTGTAAACCCACAGCACTTCATTGATTGGCTTATTCAAGGAGCTTCCAGGGGTCCAGTAATAATGGGAAACATCCGGGTTACTGGAGTGGTATCTACAGACCAGCTTCACGCTGTCCCCTTCTCGAATGAGCGTGGAGTTCTGAATCACCACAGTCACCTCCTTGGGGGGGTCTGAAAATGGAGCAGAGAGGCGGGTGAACACTGCCAGCCACCATGACACCTTTCCATCCTGCTTCCTGTTCCCCCTCCCTTGCCCGCTGCAGTGCCCAAGGAGGACTCATACTTCCCTCTCATATCTGTGAGGACAGAATGCTCCCTGACCATCTGCCTGGCTGTGGTTTGAGAGATGCTGATACATTGGTTAAGAGCACAGCTATTGCCCATGGTGCACCTACTTGAGAGGCTGAAGCAGGAGAATTGCAAGTTCAAGGCTAGCCAAGGGAACTTACCAAGTCCCTGTCTCAATGTAAAAAATAAAAAGGGCTAGGTTTGTAGGTCAGTGGTAGAGCACTTGCCTAGCATGCATGAGGCTCTGGGTTCAATCCCCAGTACTTGGGGGATTAAAAAAAAAAAAAATGAGGCTGAAGCAGGAGAATTGCAAGTTCAAGGCTAGCCAAGGGAACTTACCAAGTCCCTGTCTCAATGTAAAAAATAAAAAGGGCTAGGTTTGTAGGTCAGTGGTAGAGCACTTGCCTAGCATGCATGAGGCTCTGGGTTCAATCCCCAGTACTTGGGGGATAAAAAAAAAAAAAAAAAGAGCATAGCTCTGGAGCCAGACCCTGCTTAAAGCTATGAGATGATGACCTGCAGAATTTTACTCATTTGTCAAAGGGGTTCCTGAGGGGGCTGAATATCTTGAAATTCTCCCAAGGACGTGGTGAGATAATGCCCTTACAGCAGAGTGTGGTGTGCACTCCATAAACACTGCTGCTGCTGCTCCTGCTGCTGTCATAAATCCCACCGTGTAAAGGATTTTGGCATCCCTAGCCACATATAATATTTCGGGGTCCAAGGATCAAACCTATAGATTCTCTTTGTCCTGGCCTCAACTCAATGATAAAATCCAGGTCAGAGGTGGTGACGGCTCACCTATAACCCCAGGACTATGGAAAGCTGAGGCAGGAGGGTTGCAAGTTTGAGTCCAGCCTGGGCAACTTAGTCACTTAATGAGCCCTTGTCTCAAAGTAAATTTTAAAAGGCACTAGGCCCCAGTACCCACCCCCCCAAAAAAATTCACTGTGTTGAAGAGATTTGACAGTGACGATGCAATTAATTTGACCCAGTGGAAAGGTAATTTGACAGTGAAGAGACACTCGCACCGGTCATCCTTGAAACTTTCAGAGCCTCTTCAGGGACCCAATTACTCTCTGGTGACCCCATATCTCCATATTCCTCACGGGAATATCATTAATTCACTCATTCTTTCAACAAATATCTACTGAGGGCTTTCTAGGGCTCGGGCCCTGGTTTATGTACCAGGAAACAACTATGAATGATAGAGCCTCAAGAAGCGTATATATATAGGGAGGCCCTGGCTTCTGCTTGCTTTTCATTGCTCAACCCGCGAATCCCCTGGACCCTCTCTGCCCTCCTTCTTCTCTCGTTTCTCTCTCCTTTCCCAGGAACCAGAGGCTCTGTGACTGCTCACACTGCACATGCAGCTCGGCAACCTGGCCGCTTTGTCCACGGCCATAAACGTTTTCTGCCAAGCAGGAATAATTCCCAGCATCCTCACGGGAGACCTGAGAGATGCAAAGTTTCTCTTCTGTCTTTTCTGGGATTTTGTTCCCATTGTGATGCCAAGTGTAATTTTTTGCAGGAGGATTGGCCGACGATACACAAATCAGCTCTACTAATTTTCCCTCTTCAGCAGGTGATGGGTGGATCTGAACCATGGATGGTTCTGGTGCATCTGGAAGAAGGGGCAGAGGCAAATGAGGCAGTGAGGACAGCACTCCGAGCTGTCCAGCAGCCATGACAGCCTCGCTGTCACCTCTTGGAGGGGGGGCCCCGCTAACCTCCCCTGCCGGGTCCTGGGAGGCTCACACAGCACTTTGAGATTCACTTCTTCCGACCTCCCCAGCCCCACGTCATTGGAGGCCTGACAGTGATAAGTCCCTGCCATTTCCTTGGTCACTTTGGACAGAGTTAGGGTGGGCTGCTGCTGTTCTTTCATGAGGTTCCCATTCTTGAGCCAGGATATAGTCTTGTACTCTGGGTTGCTGCTGGTGACCTGGCAAGTCATGTTCACGAACTCCCCCTTCATTACCACGGCGTCTCTGGGACTGACCTCGATCTTCAATTTCGGAGTGTCTGGAGGAACAGAAGGGCAGTTTGGGAGGGGCCAGAGGTGTCCAGAAGTGGCATCGCTTTGTCTGACAGAGCAGTGGCCTGCACATATGCGGTTCCCTTGTCAACCCCGGGGGACTGTCACAGCCTCCTCTCTTGTCTCTCTGCTTCTTCCTTCGACTTGGCCCCTACCATCCGGTCTCTACCGGCAGCCAGCAGGATTCCTAACACTGTCCGTCAGAACTTTTACTCCCTGCTTGAAGCCACCCAATAGATTCCACACTGGGACTAAAATCTAAAGCCCCTCCTGCAGCTCAGGAGACCTCGTGTCCTGCCTGCTCCTCTACCTCCTCTCCTACCCCTAGGCCCTCAGAGGCAGCGAACTTCAACCTTTCCAGCCTTTTGACTCTACTGCAGACACACCAAGCCCCCTCCTCAGGTCTTAGTCCTTGCACTTTTTTTCTTCTTTTCAGTACTGGGACTGAACCCAAGTCCTTCACACTGAATACATCCCTAGCCCTTTAAAAAAATTTTTTTTTTAAATTTTGAGACAAGGATTAAATTGCTAGGTTACCCAGTCCAGCTTGAACTTGCAATCAGTCATCCTCAGCCTCCCAGACTGCTGGGATCACAGGTGTGTGCTTGCTCTTTTCTCTCCCTGGTGTGATCTTCTTGCACCCTATTCCTTCCCACCTTTCATTTGGCCTAAGCATTTGCCTTCTTCAGGAAAGTTTCCATCCGTCACCGGTGTCCTGCCCCTGTTGTACTTTTTTCCCGGTACACATGCCACTGGCTACAAATACGTTCAGTATTGCTTTGTGGATCTCTTTGGAGTTTGTATCCCTGAAATGCTAGTTTCACAGGGACAAGACCTCAGCTCACTGCTGTACCCTTCTCCCAGCTGGCGGCCACAGTAAGGTCTGGTGCCTGGTACATCTTGCAGTAAGTATTTACTGAATGAGAGTGAATGAATGAATGAATTAATTAATTAATTAATGAGGTACAAAATAATACTGTGCAAAATCTCCCCTTGAGGAGGAAGAAGGAAACCCAGACAGATGATCCCCAAAGCATGCTGTGGCTGGGGGAGAGACTGCTTCATGCTGCTGGCCCAAAGCAGAGATGAAGTGAATCTGTGTCCTCAGCACCAGCACTGACCAAGGAAGGGACAGTGGGAGAGCCTGGGCCATTCCTGTTGGTGACCACCTGGAAGCTCCTCTTACCCTTGATGGGGCCCAACAGTCGGCTGGGGAGAAGGTGACAAGGTCAGCATCCTTCCCAGGGGAGCATCGGGGAGACTCACGCTTCACATCCAGCTGCACCGTTTCCTCAGAGAGCACCGTGGACGAATGCAGGACCCGGCAGCTCAGGTTCTTCCTGTGGTGAGTCCACCGTGGTTGGAAGGTGAGATCACTCTTGGTGAAGACGTTGTCAGTGGAGAGGGAGGTGGAGTCTTTAGAAGAGGAAGTGGAGTTGAGCCCCTCCAGGGACCACCACAACTTGATGTCGTACCCAAAGCAAGAAAAATTCAGAAAGCAGCTGGCAGTGACAGACTGGGACTCCACTATTCTTGAAGTAAGGAGCTGGAGGTGAGGGGGAGGGGGAGTTTCTGCAAAAGAGCGGGGGTGACGCTGGGGACTTGGGAAGTTAGCGTGCGTGCACAAACTCGCCGTTCACCCCTGGCTTTGGACACCCTCCTCGAAGAACCCCTGAAGGAATCCCTTGCCAGTCCATCTACCTCCTTGTTAGCCAGAATATGTTCTGAGTGTCCCTGTAGAATTGTACTTTATATTCACTTCCTGTTGATTACTTTCTACATGGTTTCAAGATCATTCTTCCCACCACCCCTGAATTTGGCCCATTTAGTTCAGCATGCATTTCCTAGCTTTGATGACACACGTGTATCTGCCTAATGGCCTCAGTACTGGAGACCCCCCCCCCCAAGCACAGCTCTCCTTTACCAGGGTGGGCTGTGTGCTGTGCGGCTTGCTGTGCCTGGGCTGGACTACCCTGCAGACAGCAGGGGCTAAGGCGACATCTCTCCCTCAAACACAAGACTGCTGAGCACAGATCACTGGAGCAACAGGCTATGGAGCGGAGTGACCACATTCTCTAGGGCAGAGAGATAAGGTCCCTGGCCCCATCTGACAGTTCCTCTCCATGCCCTGGAGCCATCTAGCCTTGAAGGGTTGATTGGAATCAGCCAACAATACTAACACATTGGGAGATGTCACTTAAGCATCCAGGCAGGTCTCCCCCCCCCTCTCTCTCTCTCTCTCTCTCTCTCTCTCTCTCTCTCTCTCTCTCTCTCTCCAGATCTAGCAACCTAGAACTCAGACTCCAGACTGGGCAGGAGCTGAGGGACAAGGGGGACACCTGAGGTGGACCAAATGCTCGTGCTGTGGTTGACCGTGGCCTGACTTGTCCTGCCCACGTCATTCACTGGTGTCCCCTGCCTGACCTCTCTTCCACAAATCAGTTTGTGACCCCTGTCCTGGGAGTTGGGCATTTCCCACCTCCCTCCATCCCCCTGTGCTGAGTCACAGGGTCCCTTTCCCAAGGCCTTACTGGAGACATTGAGGTGCAGCTCAGCCATCCATTTTTCCTCTTTACCCCCTTCTCTCCACTTCACTCTCATCCCCAGCGTGCCACTGTCTTGGAAGGACACCGGGTTGATGCTTAAGGTACAGTTATTTTCTGTCTTTTGTACCCTTCCGTCACTGGTGAAGTGTTCCCCTGTCTTCGTCTTCGTATAGAGGATAGTCCCGTTGTAGTCTTTGATGGCTTTGTCATACTCAGGATTGTGGTACAAAGTGAAGTTATCCAGGTGCTGCTCTTGGTTCTGTTTGTTTTTGTATGTGCAGGGAATCCAGACGCAGGCTTGCTCCCAGGCATAGATGGTTTTGGGGTATTTAAATATCAAGCCTTCAGAGTCACAGAAAGCCAGGTCTGAAAACCATGACAATGATCAAAAAGTGTTATTGGGGGTGGGGGGTGGAAAGCTTTTAAAGGAATAAGGAATCCTCTCTGAAGACAGAGGGACAGTTGGGTACCCAGGAGCAGTCAGATATGCAACAAGGCCTGCTCCCACCCCGCCGCACTCCTCTCCTCCGGCCCACATCTTCCCTCCTTCTCCAGTGCCCGCTAACACCCCAGAAGCCAGGTACCCGGCTGGCCACAGGCCTTACCAAGGAGCAACAGGAGCCCAGGTGCGAGGGGATGCATGTCGTCCTGTCTGGCAGGAAGGAGCCCGAGCTGGAAAGAGTTTGTCTTTCAGAGATCTGGCTGCTTACTTCTTGCTCACTCACCGAGCGCTGGCTCCTTTCTCCTGACCCCAGGGGCCATGTCTGGTTGCATTGTGAGGATGTGGAATTCGGGAGGCCTGTGAAGCCTCTCCTGGGTCTGCGAACCTGTTCTTCATGCAAGCACTTCCTTCCCTCTTTCACCCTTCCTCCCTCCCTCTCTTCCTCCCATGCATTCATTCATCCACCTGTGCTTGTCCGAACTTCCTGCCCAGCCCTCAGACTCAGTAGCACCAGACCACTGCAGCTCAAACACGATGCAATGGGCAACGGGGATCTTTCCCAGGAGCCACTGGTGAAGGGTTTTATAAAGAGCAGAGTCACGGTCAAACCTTGATTTTAAAAACAAGGTAAAAAGTCATTCTAAAACCAGTAATGACCTATGAAACCAGAAGAGCATTTAGGGAGCACTGGGAGGTCTTAGGTGGAGAATGTGGTCCAAGGGACCCACACGTGTGCCCAGGGATAAACACATCAATCAACGTGCAAGGGACAAAGGTCCTCCCTTGTCTCAAGGTGGTGGCTGCCTCAGTTTAGTGAGCTGTTGCCAATGGAAATGGGGGCTCAGCACTGTCTGACCTTCCACTGTTCTCAGTGAAAAGAGAAGCCAGAATTTCATGTGAAGTGTCCCGCTTCACAGACAGCACAAGCCAGGTGTGATACCTGGCACACACCGTAACTTCACCACTCTGGGAGGCTAAGGCTGAGTTTGAGCCCAGCCTGGGCAGCTTAACAACTTAGCAAGACCCTCTCTCAAAATAAAAAATAAAAAGGACTTGGGTTGTAGCTCAGTGTAAATGCCCTGGGTTCAATCCCCAGTACCAGGGGAAGAGTGCTGGTCAAACAGAACTTATCTGGGGGCTGAAGGTGGCTGTGGGGCCACCAGTTTGCAAAAGACACCCCCGCTGCAACAAGCTCACCCTCCACCATCTTACACTTTTACAAAGAGTTACATTTACATAGAGTTAAATTTAAGTCCCTATTTACATGGCTGTAACCTCTGTGCCGGCCCCCAGAGAGCCGGGGCAGGATGAGCCAACAAAGTGTGTCTCCGGTGTCAGCGAGCGTGTTCCTCCCACACACCTCACCAACATTTCCCACACAAGCATCGCATCAGTGCCCCTCTCTGGCTGTTTATCTCCCCAGGCTGCAGAGCACACCCTGGGGGCTGTTAGGTATCTGGTACCAGATGTGGGGAAAGCTAAGCTGCTTGCCCAAAGCAGGAGGGGCCCCTGTCCCCAGAGCTAGAGACGAGCCCGGCCTGGGCATGGATTAGGGTGAGTGGGATGAGGCTGGCTAAGATCCTCCCCGGCAGCGCTGTCCTCAGGTCTGCAGGTGCTGAGAACGTTTCACAGAAAAAAAGTCCTCCAAGTCACAGTCACTTGGGGAAAGCTGGATTAAAAAGTTAAGCGAGATTCTTTACCGCAGGACTTTTCAAACCTTTAAACAGCTTTGTATCCGGGTGGCGAATCTATGGCGCGCATACAGCAGCAGGCTGCTTGTGTCATTGAAATCTCCGACACGTTCGCCGTCCCTGCCCTGAGTGCGCCGTGTGTCTCCAAACACGAGGGCTGGAGTGTAGCACACAGCCCGCCCTTCTTTGACCCCGAGATCTGTTTTCCCTTATCTGCCAAAAGTTTCACAGGGTTGTAGGGTGAGATCTCCCGCGTGGAAGTCTAACCAAGGGCCCTGGACCCTTGTGCCGCCAGCCACGTCCTCCTCAGTGCCTGGCTCCAGAGCCCCAGCCTGAGCAGGACCATGTGCCTCTGGAGCTTACGCAAGGGAGGACCAGAGGACGGCGCCTGGGAAGTGGAAAGCTAGGGAGCCAGGCAGGGTGGAGGCCATGAGCATTAGGCTCGGACAAGGGCACGCTGTCCAGACCTGCAGCCCGCCCAAGACTGCTTGCGGGACCTGGGAGCCCGCTTCTCTGATCCCGTCGTTCCCTCCTAGCATCCCATGACCTCCTAGTATTCTCAGAAGACAACCCAAGCCCGGCAGGAGTCAGTCTACAGCCTGCTGTGATGCAGATAAGGGAGAGGAGGGTGGTCCCCGCTGCTCTCCCACCTCCGGGAACTGTGTCCGGCACACAGTAGCTGTTGCACGCGTATACACTGAATACAAAAAAAAAAAAAAA